AAAAACTTTGATTCATACGTATCTTTTCATTGTTTGTGTCGTTCGATGAAAAGTTATTTTATGTTCCTTATTTTCACACTTTCTGATAATTATTTTTTGAATCAGAAAAGGGCATGCAAGCTTGGGCAAGATGATAGGATATAAATTTATTTACCCTTTTACAAGTTCTTTGTTTCGTAAACTATGTTGTTTATAAAACCTTGTTTTCAAATTCTTTATAATAACATCCAAAAGAAATAAGAATGAAGACGAGATATGCAGAAATAAAACTAAGAAGAAATGCAAACTCTATAACTTTACAAACATTCAGTTTTGCATGTTTAATATTATATTTAAATCCTTGATTCACCATTCTTACACATTCCTTATTCCATTTCTAAGTTAAAGATTCATGACAAGAAAAGAAACTAATTGCAAACAAAAAGAAAAGTTAATTCGGAAGTATTTCGATACAGTTTTCATATTTTTGCTGACATTTCTATGTCTGGCCATTGGCGAATTCGAACGGCAAATTTTACGGTGTTGAAAGCTCTTAACTGAAAATATTGGAACAGAATGTTGAACAAGCGCAAAAAGTGGCTGATCAATTTCACAATTTATCAAATTATTTGTTCCGTTCTTTAACCTTAACCACCTCAAATCCTGACCAACAAGACTGTCAATGTTCATGACACCTAATAGGTCTATGTCTTTTACAGCAACCATAGGAAATACTCAAATGCTAGTACAAATTCGTTGGATTTTTTCTCCAAAGTCCCTGGGCGTGTTTCTGTGCTGATGTGTCTCAGTTGTTCCACTATTTCAAAGGTTTTTTTTTACCACCTTTGTAGTTTTATGCTAATAAGTATTTCCACAAAACTGTCTTGTCATCCCAGCGAGAAAGCGCCAATGTAACATTGGTTTTCACACATAAAGTCTTTTTTTCTGTAGATTTTTCTTTTTGCTGATTCATTGTTGTTTATGTGCATAACAATAACAAAGCACCAATCCCTCTCTAAGAAATGTTTTCAGTAGGTAAATTTTGGGTTCACAATTATTTGAACAGAAACATTTGTGCACAGAACCACGTCTTCCCTAGATAACTTCGCAGCAACAGCACCCTCAGATGTCCGGGAAAGTATGGATAATTTTAATTGTTGAAAAGCATACACTTTTCAATGCATTCAACCAACTAGAAAAGTAAATGAGTTGTCATACATTGAAGTAGAATGGAAAGTTGAAGAAAAATTATGTCTTAGAAAACATAATATCAACTTTACTAGAAATGGTTTGGGATTATTCATCCTCAGTTTTTGTAAAGCTCAGTTCTTTATGTATTGATGACCAGGGTCTTTATGTCATGATGTCTCCAAGTCTCGAAGTTCTGACGTCTTGGTGTCTTGAGGTCCTGGTCTATTTATATTCTAAATCTTGATGTCTTGTTGTCCTTGTGATTTGATGTCTTGATGTCCTGATCGTCTTGATGTCTTGATCGTCTTGATGTCTTGATGTCTTGACGTCCTAGTGTCCTGATGTCCTGATATCCTGATGTCTTGATGTCATGATGTCTTGGTGTCTTGATATCTCGATGTCCTGATGTCTTGGTATCCTGATGTTTGGATGTCTTTATGTCTGGATAGCCCGATGTCTGGGGAAATTGGGTGATGAGATCGGTTGGATGAGACTGGTTGGAGTTCTTCCTCCTTAGTCACTTCCTTCCTCTGACTTTTTCCCCTGATGTCCAGATATCCTAATTTATTGATGTCCTGATGTCTTGATGTCTTGGTGTCCTGATGTCTTGATGTCTTGGTGTCTTGATGTCTTGGTGTCACGATGTCCTGGTTGTCTTGACGTCCTGACGTCTTGGTGTCCCGATGTCTTGATATCCTGATGTCTTGACGTCCTGATGTTTTGGTGTCTCGATGTCGTGATGTCTTGCTGTCTGGACATACTGATGTCTTGGGGAAGTGGATGATGAGATTGGTTGGATGTTGAAAAGCATACA